CACCAACACTCCCTCCCCTCTGCAAGGACCTTACTCAAAGTCTATGAATAAGTAAAGCATTTGCCATAAACAGCTTCCCAGTGTTATTTAAGCTTCCCCAACCTGGCCACCCCCCCCTTACCCACCACACATGTCCGATTCCCCTGCCATCAAATTCAAGTGTGTAAATTTTCTAAAAGGCTCTGAATGTTTTATGATCATTTCAGAGGATGATGGAGTAATAGCTGAATAGTGAAGCTATTACTTTTAATATTTATATTGAGTGGCCTGAATGATTCATGTGACAGGATGTAAAATCAGAGCTGTGGGTTGTGTGGACTTTGCAAACCACCGGGGCGCTCGGTAAAAAAAATTATATGTATATTTGTTTGCTTGATTCAAACTGCTGTGTACAATCCAGTTTTAATGGTTTCAATATTTGTCTGGCTATTTTGAACAGGGGTGGATCTAAAATACGCTGTTGTATTTAAAATTAACTTCAGACACACCCTTTTTTACCATTTTTTGAAGCATCGGAGGCCCATTCAAGACGTAGCCTACTAATTTCACTAAGACATAGTTAAGGTGCATACATTTAAGACTTTGTTGGTTTTTGCACAGTTTTTTTCTCTACATTTTCTGCTTGAACTTGGCCTGCAGAAAGGTTCCAATAGCAAACATAGAGTACCATAAACTAGGTCATCAAAAGTATACAATCATTATGAGTGGACAATTAGGAATATGATACACAACTCCTTAATCCTGTCAAATTCTCAGGGAAATGACTTACCTGTGCACTTTTTTGTATTGAAAACATTTAAAAAAGACGTTAAAAAGATGCACTTAACGACTGACACAACTTGGAAGAAAAAGAAACTCGGGAAATCGGACACAAAACCAGCTTCCAGACTTCCGCATTGGAGCGTCACCTGCTGAGACGAGACCAACACCACTAAATCTGTTCATTTATCCCCAAAATTGGAACTCTTTGGGTAGAAGTAGTTGTTCATGAGTTTTCTGTGTCTTTTTCTGATTAAAGCATCTGGTTAGTGAAGGGATTTAATATTAATTTTTCCTTATTTCTTATATAATAATTTATTTATTTCAAACCTGCACAATACTCATTTGTACATGTATCAACAGAACAGACAAATAAGCTTTTATCAATATATAACACAAGTTGACAGCCAAAAAATGGTCAGGGGTTTCTCAACTGATTTAGACTAATTCTGGTGTTCTGAGTCCGAATATCACATGCATTTTGCTCTATCAGGAGTAAATAAAAACTGAATGACTTTGGATACGTTGACTTTTAATTCCTGAGGAAAACAGAAACAACGTCAAGGGTTTCTCAGCTGATGATCCGCATAAATTGTTTTTTTACGCAAAATCGATCCTGATTGAGCAAAACCAAGGTCATTTTCGGACTCAGAGCATAAAAATTAGTCTAATTCAGCTGGAAAACCCTGGACTATTTTCAAAAAATATTTTTTTGTTACCCAGTGTAATGGATACAGTAAAAGTTATGGGTGTTAGCAAACAAATAGCAACATTTAGCCATTGAGGGGGCGAACAAGCAACAATCTATTAGCTTTGTTTGATACTGCATAAGCATATCATCTGATTGTACATTGGTGACATAAAAAACCCCAAGTCAAAAGTTGTTGCTCTAAAATTTGACATCACAACGCCAATATTTTCTCTTGGCCTATGTGAGACAGATTTTTCACTAATGCCGCCACATATACAAGATATTGTAGCACATGCTTTAGTTTAAGAGCTCAAGCAAGTTCCGTGTTTGATTTTTTTCATGTTTATTGACAAGCAAGTGGAAAAAACTCTGGTGTCTACTATGTGCTCTATCTGTTGTAATCTTGCACAGTTATTCCAATGTGGTTTTACTGCAAATGGCAAATGAACTGAATCTGATCCGAAGCTAAAAATATACAAACACACATACGTACACGTACGCACACACACTCATTATGTTTAAACAAACAGGTTGCAATGGTTACTTTTATAAACTTTACTGTAACTACATTGTAACAAACCTGCATTAGCCTTAAGCACGCGCCTCCCCCTCTTTCTCTTCTACGTCCGTCAGCACTTCCCGTCTGGATGGTGCAGTTTGAAGGCCGGTGTATTCTTGTGGGTATCAGGCAGCGTGTCCTGGGGGATCGGACTCTTTCAAGCGCAGTTAGTGCTCTTGACTCTGCGCGATGGAAAAGCTGTGTTTGGAGGACGTCTTAGGAGACATTATAGAGCCTTAGCGTAGCATTGTCTTAGTCGGTCTTAAATGTCACTTTGGTCTCAAGAGCCTGCCTTTCAACGCTGTGTTGTGGGACGTAAAGCTCTATGTGGTCCCACTGAGAGTCCATTTGAAGCACGAGTAAACTCTCTCTCTCCCTCTCTTTCTCTCTCTCCTTCTCTCTCTGGCTATTACCGCGTCTGTTTACTCTCTATGCAATATTTATTTAAACCCAACAACTCAGACAAAATGGGCCCACTTTGGGGATGGTGGTTTGTGCTGAGATTTTGGTGCTGAGCAGATATTTCCGTTGCCTTTAGAATTAGCCATGTTTGTACTTGTGGTTTTATTGTTATTGTTATTGTTGAGCTAGCATGTTCAGTTTGGCCGGCAGTTCGGCAATGAAGAGCACATGTTATCAAATATTTTCTGAATTTTGCCCTAGCTCATGTCATAGATTGATGAGGCGACCACCAACATTATGTATAAGGGTTATGATTGTGGTGTCCCATCCAATTACATCTAATGTTGCCCCTAATGTTAAAGACGGTTATAAAATACACAACAAAATTCATTTTAAGTTTTTTGATCATACATGCTGTGTATTTATTAGTATTCAGCAGCGTATACTGTAGATATCCACTGCGAATCTTCTATCGCCCCCCCCCCCAAAGAAAATGTTTATTCAATTCAATTCAATGTATTTTTGTTTACCCCTGAATTACAACATCAGACGTCTTAGATTATGTTTTTGATTCCTAACCATAGACTGTATGTATAAACAAACGTAGTCACGGCAATCTCCGCCGTTCTAACTAATGGGCCAAAAAATGTGCTCTACTGGAGCTATCCAAAATGGCCGCGAGTGGTCCCGCCCACAAGAAAATTGTGAAAAAAGCGTATCTGCGCATGCGTCACCCGGCGAAAGCTCCATTCATTTGAACGAGAGACTTCAAAAATTCACAGCAAGTAAACAAAGTGGTCCAAAAAAATTCACTCCCCTCAGCATTGACACACATGTGGAACGGAGCTTTGGGCCAAGAGCCAACTTTTGGACCATCCTGCAAAAAAGTTTTCGAGAGGTCTGCCAATGCTATATGTTAGCATTGGCTAATTCTTATTCCGGGTCCACCCCCATCGGCCCGGGGTGGTATTGCAAGCATGTCAGCGCACATCATTTTGGCTACTTTTGAGCCGGGACCCGCCCCCACTGTTCCTAGCCAACAGATAAGAGAAAAGTTCAAACACAGTAAATACAAACATATAGGAGTCAATGGTTTAGAGGGAGCAGGATGGCCATCCAAAACGTCCCGGATCATCATTGTGCTGAGACCCTACTGCACTGACGAGACACAATTCTAAAGACCCTTCGCAAAAAAAGAAAGAAACCTTGGGGAAGCCCAGAATGAGAGAGGGATCCACTCTCAAAGACAAACAGGCTGTAGATCCGTCTGATAGAGACTGAGGCCGTGATGTGCAGGACTGAAGGGGTCCCCAGGTGTGATGACTGAGACACATCCCACTAAGCAAGCCGACGTTGAATCAACGTAATTTGAACATCGTTGTCCGACGTAGAATATAGGTCACTGTTGGGTGCAGAATGAAAGTTTTCTCGACGTCGTTTCCCGACGTCACCTCAACCTCCAAATGTTACGTTGATGGCACGTCAATTCAAGGTTTGAATGTGGTACGGAACCGGTCGGGTCTGACGTCCTATCAACGTCTCATATGACCAAAATATTGACGTTTATATGACGTTCGTTTTCAGTTGTTCCCACTAAGCAAGCAGATGTCAAAACAACATAATTTCAACGTCATCTGGACGTTCATTCAAGGTTGCAATGTGGTACAGAACCGGTCGGGTCCGACGTCCTCTCGACGTCTTATATGACCAAAATATTGACTTTTATATGACGTCCATTTACAGTCCTATTGACCTACTTAACCTCTGCAGAATCACTCACTGGTCGAGACATACTTTTTGCAATAGGCAAGGCAAGTTTATTTGTATAGCACAGTCAAAACAAAAGGAAACTCAAAGCACTGAACAAAAGATAGAAACAATCAAACAAGGCATTACAATTATAAATATTGACAGTAAATTAAAAAGATACAAATAAAATCTCTCATAAAATCTCTCAGTTGAAGCAGAAACAGAAGTGTTTTAAACCTGGATTTTAACATTGTCAAAGAAGAAGCCTGTCTCACATTTCCAGGAAGACCGTTCCAGATTTTAGCCTTGTGAATCTGAAATGCAGCTATATCATGTTTAGTTCTGACTCTGGGCAATAAACGATAAACACAGCATTCAAAAATCATTAGAACAACTGTAGTAGAAGGATATCAGTCATTATTGCAAATGGAGCTGCATTAAAAATCATGTTTCTCTACATCAAAGTACAAGTTAAACCACACAGGGCACAGTGTTATGAACACTACTGTACTGAACAGTTCATGCCAAAGTAAAAAAACATGATTGTAGCGCCTATGTTTGGATCAGTATTAAAACAGGCACAAGCTACACTCTAGGTTCCCCAGATGTAAAAACACAATCTGAAAGGCAGAAGAATGCATTTATTGAATGTTGATGTTCCAACATGTGTCCTCTCTTGGTCTTCAGTCTCTCATCACAAGGTCCAAGCACAGCGCCTGAAAATGTGGAACATGTTTAGTTTCAACGTAATGTGGCAAAGTGATATAACAACACATAACTTTCTATTAATGCCTCAAACCACTCGATCCATCACCATGTGATACAAACCTTGGCACTGCACTAGCTCGAGACACTGGAAGACACTCCGTCTGAGAAACTTGGGATAAGGCTTTGGTCATTGGAGTAATTCCATGTAAAAACAATTGCAAATGTGCATTTGTTTTGCACATGGACACAAATGAGCCCTGAAAGCTACTTACCCTGTATTACTCTACACATGTTGCATTTCCGAGGGGGCATTTTCCCCTTGTTGCTCTTTTCCCTCATCTTGAGTGAGTTGCTGAACAATCTGAGAAAAAAATAGATGTTTTCAAAGAGAATACACCAAATAATGGTTTATTCTCAAAACAACATAATAATACAGAAGAACAATCAATGTGTGAGTGTGATTCTTACCTTTGAACACCTTCAACACAGTCTGACACCTGTAAGACTCAAACACACATGACACATTAGGAATACACACAGAACATTAGTTATTGCAACAATCATGAAATTATACTCTATGGATTTCACAGTTTCAGTAAGAAATTGAATAGAGTTGCAAGCGCTAGTTAGCTTGCTACCAGCAGATGAATGGATATTTAATATTTGCAGCGAACAATAACAAAAATAACGACTGTAGTGGCTCATTTAAACAGCCACAGTGAGAAGAAGTGAAAGTCTCTGACATTGAAGATTTAATGGGAAGACATTAAATCCATTTATTAAACAAAGCAATACATGAACATTAAACTCTCTTTCTGCAGCAGGTAACATCTGTGTGCTCCTATGGTCCCACATGGTCCCACATGGTCCCACACCTGAACTCAACTCCAACTGATGACATCACAGGTGTCTAAATGATGGGAGTGTCCCAAATATTAAAGCTGATCTCCCTGTTTTTAAACTTATTTTACTAAGTACTGTTGTCTTTTTGCAGTTTATAAACCATTGTGAAATATACAGTAACTTTACATTTTGGAATTGAATTATTATTTTAAAACTCAAGAATCTTAACCTTTTTTAACACATAGTTTGTTGGACAGTCTAACCTAAGAATTCTAATGTGTTAAAAATAGTTTGAAATATGAAAAACAATATCATATTTTAAACTTTAACTTAAAAACTAAAAAAAGGTGTCTCCCTTTCAGCTGAGCAGTGCCAGCCGTTATTATTATAGATTCATGCACTGGCAATTCGAAATACAGATAATATACAAAATATACTTAACAAAATCCACGTATACGTGAGAAAACCACTTACTTTCTGTCTTCAACTCTTTTCAATGTGGAAATGATACATCTATATCTAAAAACTGTGCAGACTGTGTACTTACTAGAGAGGGTGATTCCAAGTAAATAAAGCAGGGCAGTGACAGAGGTACAGATTCAACGTCATATCAACGTCTGGGAAGACATTGCTTTACGTCCAGATGCACACCTTACGTCGTTTAGACATGGAAAACAGGTCCTCGACCGAGCGACTCACGTGTCGGGCTGTAACCTCGCATAAGTGTGCGTCGGTTGTTTAGGGTGTTATCTATTATTTTTTCCTAGTAGTCAGAAAACATGCCTGGCGGTGGTGTAGCGGTTGCGTAATGAGACTTCAGTCGCAACGACGCGGGTTCAAATCCCAGTCGGAAATTTTTTGACTTTTCACTTTTTAGCGAACAATTCTTCTGTTTGGTTAAAAACGAATAAACACTCAACATAAGATTATGTAGCGGCTAATAATAAAACTTGTGAACCCATGCATTTTCATAAAATCTCAAGTGCTCACCCCTTATTTGCAAACTTGAGATTGTTAGCACAACAAATGCATACATTCACAAGTTTTATTATTAGCCACTACGTAATCCTATGTTGAGTGTTTATTAGTCTTTAACCAAACAGAAAAAAATTGTTCGTTAAAAATCAAAACAAATATGTATAATATAAGATAATAATACACACACGTGGGCTCGAACTCACGTAACTAAGGCTGCACACATTTGCTTAACCACTACACTACCGTCAGGTACACTGAGATCGCTTCACAGCCTATATATTGTATTGCTAGATCAAGACGTACTGCGTCGGACGGCCGATGACCTGTTTTCCACGTCTAGGGGAGGTCGGGATTGAACGTCATATCCACGTATATGGGAGGTCATTGTTTTACGTCCAGATGCGCACCTTGCACAGACGTCGTTTGGACGTAAATAAAAGGTCACGACCGACCGACGCGATATTGACGTGATCTGGAGGTTGAGTGGACGTCGGATGTTTAGTGGGATAAGTGAAGTAATTTGGCAATGTGTAAAGTCTGCTTCGACAATTTAAGAACACTTTTAACCACTTTTACCCTTAAACATGATCTTGAGAATATTAATTTGCATAATGAAGTAAAAAGATGGATTATTAAAGTAGAGACGGTAAATTGCAGAACACGGAGCAATCTGATTTTCAATTTATATATAATAAATTAATGATCTGAGAAGGCAATTATTTAGTAAACTGTCTGATGTTGCTCCTGTGGACTCACCACCTGCAGGAGGATCAGTGAGGGGCTGGTGCACTCTGTGTACAGGGTGGCATCTCTGGCCACCCCCCCGACCCAGAAATGGATTAAGGGGAAGAAAATGGATGGATGGATGGATGTCTGATGTTGCTGAACTTTTGTTTGAACTGTCCGATGAGAAAAGGCTTAAGTTTCTGTTCAAGTAAAAGCCATTTAATTTGTCTTAAGTTTTTGTTAAGTGCTTGGCTCCAACGGAGGTGGACACTCTTCGTTTTATATGTTTATGATGTCTGCCTACATCTTTGTGTCTTATAAGCCCATACGGGCTGGCATCTTTAGGTGCAAGACACCAAATAAGAAATTAACTAAACTAAACTACAATATAACTAGTATATCCGAATTAAAGTAACTTATTCAATTGTAAGTACTGTACATTCCAGATTTACAGGTAGGGAAATAGATCCATATATCCACCACAGATTCTGAAACAATGGTATTGTTATGTAGGTGGCTATATTTACGGTAGCTCAGGAACACAACGCACACATGGCTGTTCATTTCAATGGTTGCTTCAGAACACTTCTTCTACCTGGGTTGCCCCAGTACAACTGCTGTACAGTATTTAAGTGCCACATAGTGGTCACGGGTGGAATAGAATCATACATACATAACATTTCCTCCCAACTAAAATATGAGGTACTTCCACAATGCCAACAAAGAATTAAGAACATTGTCATTTCTAGTACGGAAGAACTCTAATACAATTACAAATCAATAAACATCTCTTAACCCCAGATACGTTAAATTACTCAACACAGTAACGCGCTGGTGGTTTTGTTTGTCTCACTGGATAGCGTGAATGTCTAGCAGTCTCTGCAACTTTAGAAGGTTCAGCCTTGTCTGGTCCACTGGAGCGAGGTGTCTGAGTGTGCTCGAAATCCCCAAGAACAGTTGGACCCTTCACGTCCATGTGAGATGTATGCGTATCGGATTGAGGTGTAGCAACATCAGCAATATTTGAAGTTGCCTCGGGGAAGTGTATATTAAGGTGGATTGCCAAACTTGGAGGAAGGAGGACAGCAGAGTCGGCCACGTCTGCGTGCGCCTGCTCTGTGCATGGCAATATTTGATCCACGTGTCGTTTCCACACTTTGTCAGCTCCTACCATGACCTCATAAGACACTGGTCCTGTTTGTGTCATTACCAACCCTTGTGCCCACTTCTCCTCCCCTCTCCGGTAGTCCCGTACAAGGACAGACTCACCCACTGCAAAGTGTCTGGCCTTGGAGCGCTGTTGACGACGCTGCTGCTGGGCGACCTGAGATTGATGAACAACGCCAGTCACACTGGGTTTAAGAATGTCCAGTCGTGTGCGCAGTGTGCGCTTTGTGAACAGCATAGCGGGTGGTTCTTTTGTTGTAGCATGAGGGGTATTACGGTACGTCAACAAAAATATGTCCAGACGCTGTTGAATTGGTGCGGTGCCTCTGGAGGATCTGAGGGCATGTTTGAACGTTTGCACAAATCGCTCGGCCAGGCCATTTGTAGCCGGGTGGTATGGTGCGGAGCGAATGTGCTTGACTCCATTTGCCTTCAAGAATGTGGAAAATTCCTCTGAGCTGAACTGAGGCCCATTATCACTCACTAGGATGTGAGGGACCCCGTGACGACTGAATAAGCCTCTCAGTACATTGATGGTCTTATTTGCAGAGGTGCAATCCATGATTTGCACTTCGGGCCATTTGGAATGGGAATCCACTACCACCAGATACATATGTCCTTCAAATGGGCCAGCAAAGTCCACATGAATTCTTTCCCAAGGACCGGAGGGCCACACCCACGGGTGTAGAGGGGCAAGACTGGGCTCTTTTTGTATGCGCTGACATGAATGGCATGATTTGGCCTGGAGCTCAATCTGAGAGTCAATGCCTGGTCACCAGACATATGAACGTGCCAAGATCTTCATCCTCACTACACCTGGGTGTGCAGTGTGTAGCTCATTGAGCACCCTGAGCCGTAGCTTGGGTGGCACCAACACTCGCACGCCCCACATGAGGCATCCCTGCTGAATTGTGAGTTCATGTCGGCGAGTCAGATAAGGTGACAATTCAGACTCTGTGTTTTTCATGTTTGGAAATTGACCAGTGCTGACCATCTCCAATACGCGAGACAGTGTTGGGTCAGACCTGGTGTTATGTCTGATATCCTTTGTACTGATTGGTAATGTCTCTAACTGCGTCAAATAAAACACATCTACTGTGTCCAACTTGTCCCGCTCCGTGTCAGGGAGGGGCAGCCTTGACAGTCCATCTGCATTTGTATGCGCTGCGGCTTTACGATACTCGATCGTGTAGTCATGTGCAGACAAGAGGAGTGCCCAGCGCTGCATGCGGGCTGCGGCCATTGAAGGCGTACTTTTTACTGGACTGAGAATGGAGGTCAATGGGCGATTGTCAGTTAGCAGTGTGAACTTGTTGCCATAAAGGTACTGGTGAAACTTGCGTACCCCAAAAACTATCCCTAGTGCCTCACGCTCAATCTGAGCATAGTTCTGCTCAGCCTGGCTGAGCGTTTTAGATGCATAGGCAATAGGTTTCTCTACCCCATCTGGCATGACATGCGTAGGGTGAAGCGTCACACGCTAAACGAAGGGGCAGCTCTGGGTTGTAGTGGGTCAGCACTTTTTGAGATACCATGAGTTCTTTCACTCTACGGAACGCCGCCTCACAACCAGTCGTCCACTGCCATTTCTTTCCCTTGTGCAGCAGTGCATTCAGTGGCTGCAGGATGGTTGCCAGATCTGGCATGAAACGTCCATAGTAGTTAATCATTCCGAGGAGAGAGCGTAGTCCAAAGCCTTCAGGTGGGTTTCCTCATCCGGCCCACTAACCAGAATATCATCTAGATAACAGTGCGTGCCTGGTAGTCCAATTAGCACTCGATCCATAGCCTTCTGGAACAATGCCGGTGCTGACGCAATCCCGAATGGCAACCAGTTATAACAGAAAAGTCCTTTTTGTGTGGAAACAGTCAGTAGCTTCCTCGACTCCTCCAGTACTTCCATTTGCAAATATGCGTTGGACAAGTCCAGTTTGCTGAAGTGCTGACCTCCAGCCAGCGACGCAAAAAGATCCTCAATTCGTGGAATAGGATACTTGTCCACACAGAGCGCTTGGTTGAGGGTAACTTTGAAATCACCACATAGTCTCACTGTGCCATCCTTTTTGCTTACCGGAACCACTGGTGTAGCCCAGTCACTATGCTCCACCGGTGAGATTACCCCAAGGTCAGTGAGGCGAGTCAGTTCAGCCTCCACTTTTGACCTCAGAGCATAGGGCACATTACGTGGTGGGCAAAATTTGGAAATGCTGTCAGGTTTAAGAGTCACTCTTGCCTTAATGCCTTTCATTAACCCCAACTCATCAGAGAAAACAGCAGAATGCCGCTTAAGCACAGCATCTAAGCTGTCCTTTTTATCTGATTGTTCACCATATACAGTTTTTACATCTTTCCAGTTAAGCTTAATAGCCCTAAACCACTCTCTACCAAATAGAGGCGCTGCGTTCACCTTAACCACATACAATGGTAGCTGAGCTGTTTGCTTATTTAGCTTAACATTCACATGTATAACCCCTAGAGGCAACAAAGGTTCACCAGTGAAAGTCCTAAGGACAACATCAGTAGTTTGCAAAGGCACATTTTTCATTGAACTTTTGTACTGATCCCATGATATTAAAGATACGGCAGCCCCTGTGTCTAATTCCATTTCCATTTTCTTACCATTAACTTTAGAAATTACAGATATACGTGAATATTTTCCCTTGCTAGATAATGCATACAGTGGCATTTCATTATCAGAATCAGATGTCGTCTCTTCACTTGTACTGTCATTGTCGCGAGCCTCCACACGGTGCACTTTCCTTTTTTTATCTCTTGCGCTGTACTTGGATGTGTGGCTTTTCCCTTTTAACTCAGTTTTTCCATCCCTGTAATTCCTCTTTTTGACAAAGTCATTCTTGTATTTACTTTTGCACGTGCGCCCAATGTTGCCTTTCTTACCACACTGATAACAGTCTCTCTCCTTATACCAGCAATCATCATCAGTGTGATTTGGTTTACCGCACCGTCTACATTTGGCTTGCAGAGTTTGAGAGAGAACAGCGTTCACTTTTAACGAGCCGCTCAACTGTTGCGCATCGCGTGCCACCGTTTCAGCAGATACGGCGAACTTGACTGCTTTATTAAATGTTAAATCGTCCTCAGTCAACAGGCGCTTTTGAACAGTTTCACTTTTCAGTCCACAGACAAACCTATCCCGTAGTGCTTCCTCCAAATAGCCACGAAACTCGCAGTGTTCGGACAGTCCTTTCAGCACTGCAACATACTGAGCGACAGATTCACCCACCTCCTGATTCCTCTTGTGGAAACGGAACCTCTCCGCAATTACTAACGGTTTGGGGGAAAAATGTCCTTTCAACACTTTCACGATGTCATCGTAGCTATTCTCCCCCGGCTTGGCAGGAGCAATTAGACTGCGTAACAATCCATACGTCTTTGGGCCAATCACACTTAGCAGGACCGGCACTTTTTTTGCTTCATTTATCTCATTTGCCAGGACATAGTTTTCAAAACGTTCAATGTACGTTGTCCAAATCTCACCGGATTCCTCAAATGGTTCCATACCGCCAATTAGTCCCGCCATGGTGCGTTTTTCTGGTTCTTTTACCCTTTCTTCTGGTTCCGATCCGCTGCTGCTCATTCTTTAGCAACTCTAGTCAGAGGGCTTGCACCAACTAGCATAGCCTCGGCTGCGTAGATGACTCAACACAACTCGTAGAGAAAAAAAAAAAAACAAACAAAAACTTTCACGCAGGTACTCGATGATAAAAAATAAAAAACGTTTCTCTTCCACACCTCGTCGCCAATTTGTGTTATGTAGGTGGCTATATTTACGGTAGCTCAGGAACACAACGCACACATGGCTGTTCATTTCAATGGTTTACTTCAGAACACTTCTTCTACCTGGGTTGCCCCAGTACAACAACTGCTGTACAGTATTTAAGTGCCACCTAGTGGAGTATGTAGGCTTGTCGCAAAATGTAATAAATCAATCAATCTCATGATAATTGAAATTAGCTCGATAATTTTTCTGGCCCCGATAAGTTCCAGGATTGACAATGGGGACAAAGTCCTTGTGAACATACAGTATGCCAGCCCGAGTTCTCGTTCGGGCTCTAGAAGTGACGAAACTAGAGTAGCTAGCATGTTTAATAGTAAAATAAACGTATGGTGCACCTTCATGAACACATGCTGCTGTTATATAAAGTATCTGGAAGGTCTCTGGACACAGAGACGCTGCAGAGCTCCATTCTTGGTGAAGAACTTTACACAAAAAGCCGCTAGCTTTACTCTGTTGGCATCAAAGCCCAACCGCTACTCCCACCACTTCCGGCGGTGGTCTTTAAAAGTAAAAGTTTATTTCTCTCTGAAAAGGTGTACCTGCATCATTACCATTGTATTAGATGAAAATGATGCAATATTATCGCTTATATCGCAATAATTTCTGAGACAATTAATCGTCCAGCAATTTTTTTTATTGTGACAGGCCTATTAGTATAGCTATTGTTCACTGTGCTCTGTGCATTCCTACTGTTCTCTAACTTGTGATGCAACAATGAAATTTCTCTGCTGTGGGACGAATATAGGATCTCTTCATCTTAATTACATTGCTTTAATCAATAAACCTCTTAAAACAAAATGGCCTGAATATGACCATACACGTAATATGTTCTGGCATGCTATTTTTCCTCTCCAATATTCTAATGATTTATTTTGACACCAGCGCCGATAACTACAACAAGAAGCTTATTTTTTGGTTTGTTCATTTTTTGGCCAAACTCCAGTCTGCTTCTCTACTTTCGGCAGTAATTGATAGTAGAGAGCCTGAAACAGTGGTCAGCGGGAGGCAAACCAATTGTGAATACGGCCTGCCAAAGCCGGAGAAAAACAAAAACACTGAGGATACGCAGGCGAGACAGACAGCAGATGGAAGAGTATCCGCGTCGGGATGGATGTGCTACGCAGAGAAATTAAGCTGGAGAAATGGAATGAGTGGAGACAAGATGTGAATGGTCGGCAAAGAGTCCCAGTAGAAATGCCGTGGAGGAAAGCTGGAGACGGTTTGGAGAAAGTAGCCAGGAACGGTGTTTATGAGCAGACTCGATATACGGCGGAGAACTCCCTCCCAGAGCAGAAACTTCTGACAAAACTCAAAGACGAACAGCGGGAGGTGTCGGTAATGGGTTAAAAACATTGAACAAAAGTCAAAAACTTCTTCAGAATCGATAAATCTAGTCTTACTTCACCCTCAACCCACCCTGTAATTGTGAAGTATAGTATGTTGCTGCAAGGGCTGAAAATGAGTAGTTGAGGGACTAATTGTGCACTTTAAATTTTATCAATAAATATATTAATATTTTACAGCTCTCTATATTCACTATAATTATCTATACAAAGACTGGGAATGGGTTGTTGCATTATAATCGTACTGTAATTGTTGGTGTAAATTGTTTGCAGGTTTTCAACTGTGGCCTCAATATATGAAGCAGCAAAACTGTTCCCATTGTAATCTTTATTTGGTATTTCAAACAAAACAAGTTTGGGAAGAAAAATAAAACATGTGCTTACAATTTCCAGAGGTATCACACTATAGCAATGGCAATTTAATGTAACTAATGCAATAGCCAGAAACTCTTTTAAACATTAATTCATCCA